AAACCATGAAGATCTAGAGAAGACTGTGCCCATTAAAAGAGATAAAAGAAATATCTAAATAGGGGGATACCGCCATGTTGGAGAGGAGAGTTCGAAGGAACACAGGCTGCTAGGTTCCTAAATGCAATTTCATCCACTTCTCTTTCAAGCTTAAAAAAAAAAGAACTTGAAGCCTTGAACTGAATCATAAATCCCCCAACACCCATCAGAGTAAAAGATACTAAAGGAAACAATGAAAAAGTTAATTAACTAGATTAGATGCAAGAATGACATCTTCTTTTATAGAGAATGAGAGGAAGATCAAGAGTAAGAGAGAAACTAAGATTCATGAGGGATGATCAAGTGAGAGCAAAAGATAGGTGGACAGCATGGAACAGAGTCAAATCCGAATACCAGAGGCTAGATAAGCATTTCCAAGAAAAGATAGATAGCGAATGGTGGAGGAATAAAAGCTTTGGAGGGTTTGATCGAGGAATGTATAATCAAGCAAAAGCTTTCTTCTTTAGCAACTTTTTGGATGACTGGAACTTTGAGCAGAAGTGGCAAACTTTTAAGAAGTATGGAAAGGTGCTGGAGATACACTGCCCAAATAGAAGAGGAAAGACGAAAAAAGGTTCAGGTTTGTTAGGTTCCAAGATATCAAGGATGAAAATGAGTTAGAACAGCAGCTGAACTAGATATGGATTGGAAATTGGAAGCTTAGAGCAAATAGACCAAGATTTAAAAAGGGGGAGCAAGATAAGGGTCAATGAATAAAGTAGCAAGACAACGGTCGACGAATAGAGTTGGAAAGGAAAAATGCAACTAGAGAAGCGAGGACTTATGCAGATGCACTGAAAGGTGATGGCGAAAGGGACCAAAAACAAACAACAATAGTAAGACCAGCAGTACATCCAAGGAGAGAAAGAAGTGTGTGGTGTCCTCAGAGGAGGGATGAATCATGGAATGACCTCGAATTCAAATTTGAGAAGGAGGAGTATGACTAGTTAGATGGAAGCTATGTGGGCAAGGTCCATTCGATTGAAACAATCCCATGTCTTCAAGAAAGGCTCTATATGGAAGGGGTGTTCTCTTGTCACGTTCGAGCCATGGGTGGGAAGCTTATATTACTAGATAGTGAGGATAAGGAAGAGCTACGCGATTTAATCAACTTGGGACAAGATTGGTTGGGGCAGTGGTTCAAAGAAATTAGAGAATGGTCTCCGAGTATGGTAGCTACAAAAAGATTCGTGTGGTTGAAGTTCCAAGGGGTGCCTCTCAATAGTTGGAATTCAGTCTTCTTCGCTACTGTGGCAAATTTATGGGGCAAATTCATCACATTGGATGAAAGTACAGTCAAGAAAAAATGATTTGATGTGGCAAGATGTCTTATATCTACACTGGTCATGGCTTTTATTTCAAAGTCATTTAGTGTTAAAGTCAATGGCGAATTATATACCAAATCAAAGTGGTGGAAGAGGAGTCTTCAAATGGTCTTTTTCCATTGAAATCAGATTTCCATAAAACACCATGCAGTGAAGACGACGAGGAAGAGAAAGAGGGAGAGTCATGGGCAGCAAATAGTGACTTTGGAGAGATACAAGGGGTAGCTAATGTGAAAGACGTGCAGAATGAGGATTATAAGGTGGCAGCAAAGGATTGGATTGAAGAACGGCAGTCAGTAATTCAAAATTTGAAACAAATCCATGGCAACATAAATGTCACTTCGAAGTCAAATGATGGACAAAGTAAAGGCCAACAGATAATCCATATTGAAAAAGTGAATAGGGAGAAATCAGTTGAGATGGAAGTGGATAGTTTTAAAATAGTGAATGAGAATGCAGGAAATGAGAATGATAGTGTAAACTCCTCTCCTGAGGATGCACGGATGATTGGGGGGAGTAACGAGATGGTGGAACAGAGCAGCAGTAACCAGAGAGTAAAGGAAAAAATAAGGTCAAATGAATCAAAGGAGAAAATACAAAAGATACATGAGCTGATCAAGTATATGGGTCGAGGCCCAATAGAAAAGGGCAGGACTGACAATGCAGAAGGGGAGGCAAGCATGGATGGGGTCTTGTTAATAGTTAGGATGTCGAAGCCCAAAAAAAGTAAAGAAGAAAGTTGGGTTTCCAATAGATGAGTCCTACAGGGATGAGGAATTGATGGAATTTTGGAAAAGGATGGAAAGCAAATCAGAAAGTATTCGAGAATGGATGGGAAGGAGTGAAAGGAAAATGAAGAAGAGAAACAAGAGAAGATCCAAGTCTTGCACATCTGTATACAATAATTCTACTGCATTAGAATCAATAATGGTGGGTTCAAAGGGAAATGAAAATCTACTATGTTGAAAAAGTATAAAGAACAAAAGGTAAGATTCGAGCCAAATCAAAATAGAGAAGTAGCAGATGATTCAATTGAAGACAGTGGGATCCAAAATTGCAATCGGAGCAACATCACGGGTCTCAACAGAAAAGGTGCTAAGGAGATGTGGGAATTTGCAAAAAGTATAAGAGTCATAACTAGAGGTAGTGAAGATGAATTGGTACAAAAATTGGGGAAGCTAGAGGCTCGAGATAGAGAAGCTGGAAGGAAGGAAGAGAGATAAGGCACCAAGGGAGTTGGACAAGGGACATCATTGCCATCATGATTTTTTTGACATACAACATAAAAGGGCTAGGAGGACTAGGGAAGAGGAAGGAGATACAAGAGCTGGTAAAAAGGGAAAAAATAGATTTTTTAGCACTGCAAGAAACAAGAATGGAGTGTATTTATCAAAACATGTGTAGAGGTGTATGGGGGGAAAATGATTTTGAGTGGGTAACTAGGCGAACAAATGGATTGTCAGGAGGGCTGTTATGTTTGTGGAAGTCGAGTGTTTTAAGGAAAATCAGTGTTTTTGAGGGCCAACATTATGTTAGAATTTCAGGTCTTTGGGATACAGAAAAGGTCCCAATGTTCATAGTTAATGTGTATGCCCCATGTGAATTAGCAGCAAAGAGAGAGTTATGGAAGGAGTTAGAAACCATTGTGAATGAAGTAAAAGGGAATTGGTGTATTGTAGGAGACTTTAATATAGTTAAGTGTGCTCAGGAGAAAGTGGGTTGTAAAGTCTCAACAGGGGAAATGAAAAGCTTTGTAGAATTTATTGTTGATGCAAAACTTGTGGATTTACCTTTCATTGGCAAAAAGTACACATGTTACCACTCCAATGGAAACTCTATGAGTAGATTAGATCAGTTTCTCCTATCAAAGGAATGGTTGATGAATTGGGGTAACCTACAGCAATGGGGCTTAAATAGGACTAGTTCTGATCATTGTCCAGTGCTGCTAAAGTCAATTTCTAAGGATTAGAGGCCTAAACCTTTTTAGTTTTTTGATTCCTGATGGTGGAACACAGATCTAAAGGAATCCTTATTGAAGAACTGGAGAACAATAGATGTTCAAGGATGGAGTGGGTTTAAATTTAAAGAAAAACTGAAAATGATGAAGAGTTTTTTGAAGACATGGAGTGAGCAACAAATTGGGGATGTTGAGAGAAAAATAAAGGAAGCAAAGGAGACAACTGCCCAAATAGATGTAAAAGGGGAAGGCCAAAGTCTATCAACAGAGGATTAGGAAGAGAAGAAGCATTGCCTAGTAGAGTTATGGAGAACTTTACAAATTCAAGAGTCAAATTGGAGACAAAAAGCTAGAAGAAGGTGGATCAAAGAAGGAGATGCAAATACAAGCTATTTCCATAGAAGTGTGAAAGGAAGGAAAAGGAGAAATGAGATAAATAGTATTCGGATCAACGGGGTGCAATTGGAGGGAGTACTGGAGATTAAAGAAGGAGTTGCAAGATTTTATGAAAGCCTCTTTATTGAAGAAAAAGAAAATAGACCAACCTTAGATGGTATAAATTTCAATCAAATCTCCTAAGAGGATAATAAAGAGTTAACTGCCCCATTTGAAGAAAAAGAAATAAAAAAGAGCCATTTGGGATTGTGATAATACCAAGGCCCCGGGACCAGACGGTTTCAACTTTGAATTTATTAAGGAGATGTGGGAGGTAATAAAGGTTGATGTGATGAGCTTTGCGGTGGAATTTCGTAGTCATGGTAGATTAGTAAAAAGATCTAATGCATCCCTTGTTGTGTTGGTTCCTAAGGTGGAAAACCCAACATGCATTGAAGAGTATCACCAATATCCTTGATTGTGTATGTCAAAGTAGTCAATACCGTACTGGTAAACATATCGGTTTTGCTCCTAAAACGGTATGTACCAGATATCAAAATTTTTCAAATACCGTTTCGGATTTATCGGTATAAATATATATTTTTATAAATTAAATATTAAATTTTAAAATAATCTGTCAAAAGACAATGCTTTTCACCCCAAGTGCTAAAAACATTGCGAGGAGAGTTTTTGGAAATGACAATAGGGACTCAAGGATTGGGGTGGCAAGGCTTGTAATTTGAAATTGCTATTGCAGAATTAAGATTAAGAAACCCCTAGCCCAAAACGACATTGTTTTGGGCTAAGAATCCTTTAAAAAAAAAAAATTTCCATAATGTGTACTAGCCAAAATGCCAGTACATTAAAATTTTGGCTGGTACATCAAATTTGGACCAAAACAGATTTCAATATTATACCGTTTCGGTCAATACAAAAAATCGGTATGTACCAGCCATACTGGCCGGTACGGTACGAAATTGTCAACCTTGGTGTATGTACAAAATAGTGGGAAAATGTTGGCAAGTAGAATTAGAAAGGTAATGGGTGGGATAATTGGAGAACAACAGTCAGCATTTCTGAGAGATAGGTTATTGGTTAATAGTGTCTTGGTAGCTAATGAGGTCATCGAGGCAGCTACTAAGAAAGGGGTGTAGAGCTTTTGTTTTAAGGTGGATTTTGAAAAGGCTTATGAGAATGTAAGCTGCATTTTTTTGGATTATATGATGAGAAGAATGAGGTTTGGAATCAAATGGCGAAGTTGGATCCAAGAATGTTTGAAAACCAACTCAATCTCTGTGTTGGTAAATGGAAGTCCCACAAGAGAATTTGGCATGAGTACAAGGCTTAGACAAGGAGATCCGCTGTCCCCTTTTCTATTCCTAATGATAACGGAGGGCTTAAATGGCATGATAAGATCTGCAAAGGAGAAGCAGCTACTAAAAGGTATACAAGTTGGCTCAGGTGAATTAGAGATAACCCATTTGCAATTTGCAAACAACACTATGGTTTTTGGGAAAGCCTGTGAGGAATATATATGGGCAGTAAAGAGCATTATGTTATGAGAGTTTTTGAAGTGGTCTCAGGGCTTAAGATTAATTTTGGGAAAAGCAAGCTATATAGATTGAAAATGGATGACAGATGGTTGATGAAGATGGCATGGTGGCTCAATTGCAAAATAGGCAAGATGCCTTTTAAGTATCTAGGTATAATGATTAGAGGCAACCAAAGAAGGCTAGCAACTTGGTGTCCACTAGTTGATTCTTTTAAGAAGAAGTTAAGCTCCTGGAAGTGCTGGTTTTTGTCTCTTGGTTAGAGAATTGTAATGATTAATTCTGTGCTATCCAGCCTACCTTTGTTCCTCATGTCGATGTTCCTCCTTCCAAAAGGTATCATCTCTAAACTTGATAAAATACGTAGATATTTTTTGTGGGGTGGGTGCAAGGAGGGGGGGAAGATTAGTTGGGTGAGTTGGGATAGCATGTGTAGAACCAAGAAAAAGGGTGGTTTGGGTGTAAGGAATTTAAGGTGGTCTAATATAGCTTTATTAGTGAAATGGTGGGGGAGGATTGCTAAAGGGGAACAGGGACTTTGGCGAAAGGTGTTGGAGGAAAAATATAATATCTCTAACAGAACGTGGGACTCCTATATGAGGGAAAGAAATAACAGAGGGTCACTATGGTGGCGGGATTTAGGAAGGTTGAACACTTTAGTGAAGGGGAAAGTAGGGTGGCTAGAGGATGGTTTTAGAGTATGTTTGGGGAATGGAGAGGAGGTCAACTTTTGGAAAGAGAAATGGGTAGGTGAGGAGTGTATGGCTAACTTGTTTCCTAGGTTATATCTCTTATCAATAGGAAAAGAAAAGACAGTAGCTCAAATGGGGAGTTGGACAAGCTTTGGATGGCAATGGTCTCTTGAATGGAGATGCAAACTTTATGCCCGGGAAGAAGAATGGGAGCATACTTTAATGAATATGATACAAAGGACAATACCCATGCAAAATCAATGTGATGAATGGATTTGGAGACACAATACAAGAGGCTCATATACAGTAACATTTGGATATCAAATATTGTCTACTAAAGCCACTACAAATGATGTAGCAATTTTCAACAAGATTTGGAACAAAGGTATATCGAACAAAGAAATAGCAACAAAGGTATATCAAACAAAGAAATAGCATTTGTATGGCAAGTGATACAAGATAGAATCCCATCAAAGGCCAATCTACAGAAAAGGGGGGTGCTTAACCATGACAATGATCTTGTGTGTAGGGCTTGCAGATTTCCTTTAGAAGACACAGACCATATATTTCTAAAATGCAAAGTAGCCATCAAATTATGGGAGCTTTGCTTTAAATGGTGGGGAATTCAGTATGTTTTGCATGAAAACTGCAAGAAGGCCTCTCAACAACATTACTTTGTATCTAAAGACAAGAGAGTTAGACAAGGGTGGGAGACAATATGGTTTGCTCTAGTATGGACATTATGGCTTGCAAGGAATGCCAGGATTTTCAACAAAGAACCCATGGATGTGGAAAAATTGTTTGATTTAGTACAAGTTCGCTCCTTTCAATGGGTAAAAGAAAAGGTGGAGACTCATTCATTTTCGTTCATGAAATGGGTGATGAAGCCAATGACCTGTTTATATGGAAGGCCAACAAGAAAAGCTGGGTAACAAAACATAAAGGGGAAAAAAAGCCAAGACTATGCATGAAGTCAGCAAAAAGGAAACAAACGTTGCCTCAAAACCACAAGCAAAAGATAATGGGGCCCTGGTTCAAAGGATTGCTCATATACATGGGTTAAGGTGGGTATACACGAATTGCTTGGCGTTTTTTATTGTAAAATCATGCAATTGTTTCATCAAGGCTTCGCTAAGCAGCTATTTGACTATAGCTGTTTTGATTTGCTGAATTATGTTAATCGTGGGTTTAGTAAGCTATAGTTAGTGGATACTCAGTGACAATTTCTTTTTGTTTTAAGGGTGGGAGTATCCCTTGTACTTCATTTAATAAAATTCATTTTGCTGTGCAAAAAAAAAAAAAAAAAAACTAAAGGAAACAATGAAAGCTCAACGGTGCAAAAAGTACAAAGCTAATCAATCAACATAGCACTTCAAACCCCCATCAAATACAGTTCAAAAATTGAGAAAATTAACTACCCAAATTAAAAAAACCATGAAACCATGAAGATCTAGAGAAGACTGTACCTATTAAAAGAGAAAAAGAAAGATCTAAACAAGGGCATATTGCCATGGTGGAGAGGAGTTCGAAGGAACCCAGGCTGCTGGGTTCCTAAATCCTTATCTTCAACCTCTAAATCGTTTCAGCATAAGATGTGTGGCATCAACACTATTAATGAACACGCAACCATGTAGCAAAGCACAAAGAGAACTATTCTTTGCCTTACTAAAGAATACCCTTTTGGAGAGCTTTCCTCCGAAGGATGGGCTGTCCACATCTAGTTGAAGTTTTCTGATGGGGATTTTTCTTACGGTTGATGGATTTCACAGATCTTAGCGTCAGTTTCTACCAACCCAAAAAAGCTACAAATATATTTAACTAAGAATTGGTGGGGTGCGCCTGGCCTTTGCTGTAGTGCAACGCAAGGGCTACGCTTGAAGATCCCAGTAGCAAGCTACTATGGAGAATCCTCCCCCTAAAAAAATTAATTTAATATCATGTGAGTCATTGACTCACGTATCAGATATTAAACTGATAAGAACAGATACTACACTTGATCTTAGCCAAAAGGCCGAGAAAGGTATGCTTTGTTAGAGTTTCAGAGTTTGCTTTTATAACGTACCTTCAAGTCGCTCATTTCTATATTTTCTGTATGGGACATAAACACTTTGTCCATAACATCACTAACTGGTCCCCGCTAGACAATTCATCCTTTACTTGTGGAGGTGATTCATGGCTACTCCCTCAGCATTTTTCTACTTATCCTAGGAACTTAGTTTGATTTTTAAATGACGTTTGATTTAATCAATTTATTTAGCAAATGAATGACAATTGATAAAAATAAATCTGCTCATAAGTAAATTTTGCGTAGGAATTTCCTTTAAATCAAATAATTGTTTCAATTGTTTTTTTCCAATCAAATTGTCATTAATTTACTCCGTAAAGATATCAAGTTAATTATTAATTTATATAAAAACAAGGGATAAGGAAAACTAAAGAAAGATCAAACGGAGCGTTTAAGAGCTGTTTAGAACACAGCTGTTTGTTATTGGGTTAACAAAATCTCAGACATAAGGTGCAGAATATGGCGTCGCTCAAGGAAAACGCACAAGAAAAGAGAGCAAAAGGCATTTATGTGCAATGAAATTGACTAGCGCCTGAAAGGAATCATTATTCCAAATCTTAGATGTGGATTAGAATTCGATGAGTGGCAGGACAACTACAAGAAATTAACCAAGCTCTGGCAAAACAGCGCACACTGGCAAGATGTGCATTTTCCCCAGAGTATGACCTGCCTTGGGCTACAAAGAGTGTTCTTGGGAGTTCCACTCATAACGAGAGCCGTCTCTAAAAGAAGAATTTGAGGGTTTGGCTGGAATTATATATCCTTGCAAGTAATGGATGGTATTGATAATAGTCATGTTATAATCTGTTTTCCTCTGTTATGAGTCTTGTCTTTTATTGTTACTTATATTAATGAAATTTATCTTCCATTAAAAAAAAAAAAAAAGCCAAAATTTAGAAGATGACATCATCATACATCATCATTATGTCTTTTTCC